TCACTACATCATAATCACCACCACAAATCTAATTTCCGCCCATCACCATACACTTGAGCCCTGTATCCACCCCTACCCTCTGCCCCATAATGCCCGATCTGTTCTCTGTATCTAAGAGTTTGTGTTCGTTTTCTTTGCTCGTTTGTTTTCTTCACCTTCCACAGATCAGTGTAATCACATGGTGTTTGTCTTTTCCCTACTTAGTAGAATCCCTTCGTTCTACTTATTTCACTTAGTGGAAGCCCCTCAAGTTTCATCCATGTTGGCAAAAATGGAAAGATTTTATCTTTCTTCCTAGCTGAGGAGCATTCAATTGTGTACATATGCCACTTTTTTTTTAACCAATCAATAGGCACTTATGTCGTTTTCAATTATTGGCTATTATAAATAATGCTGCAAGGAACATAGGGGCCATATGTATTTTCAAATGAGTGTTTTCATATTCTATGGATCAATACCCAAAAGTGGAATAACTGGGCGATAAGGTATTTCTATTCTTCATACTACTTTCCATCATGACTGCACCAACTAGCACCCCCACCATTAGTGTACAGGAGTCCCTCCCACCCCATCCTTGCCAACACTTGTGGGTTTGTTTTTTTTTAGGTTTTTTTCTTTTTTTTTTAAAGATTGATTGATTTATTTATGCATACAAGAACTGGGGTGTAGGCCAGATGTTCGGGGAGTGAGAGGATTCACCAGAGACAGAGTGTGGAGCAGAACAGGCGGATTGCCTGAAATACACAGCTGAGGGGAGCAGCAGGGGGGAAACAGGAGAGGTCTGCTGCGCCATGTGGGTTGCTCCCTGGCCTGGGGGTGGTGGGGGGTAGGGGTGGGAAGGTGGGTTGAACTCCTGCTGCAGTGGCTGGTGAGTGTTTCACAGTGCTGTCTTTAGTCCCTGTGCCACCAGGGAGGCCCAACACTTGTGGTATTAATAATAGTCATTCTCACAGGTGTGAAGTGATAGCTCCTTGTGGTTTTGATTTGCATTTCCCTGATGATAAAAGATGATAAACATTTTTTCATGTGCCCGCGGCCATCGGTATGTCTTCTCTGGTGAAATGTCTATTCAAATCCTCTGCTCATTTTTCCATTCGATTGTTTGTTTTGTTGTTGAGTTGTGTAAGTTTCTTACATATTTTGGATATTAACCTATTGTGAGATGTATCATTTACAAATATCTTCTCCCATTCAGTAGGAGTTTTTGTTTTCATGATAGTTTCTTTTGCTGTGCAGAAAGGTCTTTAGTTCGATATAGTCCCATTCACTTATTTCTGCTTTTGTTACCCTTGCTGTCTGAGTTGAATCCACAAATACATCATTAGGGCCAATGTCAAGGGTTTTATTGTGTTTCCTTCTATGTGTTTCATGACTTCAGGTCTAACATTTTGAATTAATTTTTGTGCATGATGTTAAGATAGTGATCTAGTTTCATTCTTTTGCATGTAGCAGCCCAGTTTTTCCAACACTCTTTATTGAAGAGACTTTCCTTTCCCTGTGGTATGTTCTTGGCTCCTTTGTTAACCTTCCATTTTGAAACAATTTCAGATTTGAAAAAATGGTGCACAGAATCCCCTTATTCCCTCGCCCAGATCCCCCAAATGTTAACATCTCTTTATAACCACAGTATAGTTATCAAAACCAAGAAATTAGCATCAAATACAAACTACCCTGTAGGCCTTATTCACATTTCACCAATTGTCACCCTAAGGTACTTTTCCTGGTCCGGAAGTCAATGTAGGATGTTTAGATTGTCCTGCCCAGTCCCTCTTTTGCTGGGCATCTCTGTCATGACAGCGCTTTGTTATCACAGCAGTGGAGCAGGGGATCAGCTGCTCCACCGGTTTGTCCAGGCTTTTGCACTTTGGTCTATTCTTGGTGAGCATTCCCCAGATTCTTGCATGACCTGCTCTTTGGAATATAAGCCACAAGAGGGCTGCGATTCTGCCTTGCTCTGTGTCTTTGCTATCAGAGTGGGCTGATAGCAAATCCTTACTAAATATTTTTTTAAGATTTATTTTTTTAAAGATTTATTTATTTATGCATACAAGAGCTGGGGTACAGGCTAGAGATGCAAGTGAGAGGATCCACCAGAGACAGAGTGGGGAGCAGAACAGGCAGACTGACTGAAATGCACTGCTGAGGGGAGCAGCGGGCGCGACAGGAGAGGTCTGCTGCACCATGTGGGTCAGCTCCCTGGCCTGGGGTCAATTCATGTTGCAGTGGCTGGCAATAGCTTGATACCGCTGTGTCTTTAACCCCTGTGCCACCAGGGAGGCCCCCCATAGAGATTTAAGTCTCTTCATCTACCCAACCCCTATGCCCCACCAACTTGACTTTTCTGTCTCAGGCTTAACCACACTGACTTGCTATTTAACCCTAAGCCCTGACTGCCTCTCATCCCCACCCCAGTCTCAACTCTCCTTCTTTGAGCCACAGCTCCTTCCTGGGCTGGCAGGGCTGGCTGCACAGTTTATAGGGCCAGGTTTAACATAAATCTGGATCTTCTGGGCCTCCCCGGTGGCGCAGCGGTTGATCGCTGGGTTGCGAAGCAGCCCGCGGCCTCTGCAGCGCCGGTTCGATCCCCGGCTGCTCCCCGGCCACTGGAGGAGGGTCCCACATGGCGCGCAGACCTCTCCTGCCGCCCGCTGCTCCCCTCAGCAGTGTACTTCGGTCCTTCTGCCTGCTCTGCTCCCCGCTCTGGCTCTGGTGAATTCTCTCACCCTCCAGTGCTTCTGACTGCACCCAGTGCATGTATAAACAAAACAAACAAATAAATAAATAAAACATGCCTCTAAAAAAAAAAAAAAAACTGGATCTTCTAGTTCAAAAAGCATGAATAAAGTTACTCTTAAAGGTACTAAAATATAAAGTTGTCATTCTTTTTTTATTTTTTTTTTTTTTTATTTTTTATTTTTTTTTTTTAGGTGAGTCAGGGTCTCGCTATGTTGCCCAGGCTGGAGTACAGTGGCTATTCACAGGCGCGATCCCACTACTGATCAGCACGGGAGTTTTGACCTGCTCCGTTTCCGACCTGGGCCGGTTCACCCCTCCTTAGGCAACCTGGTGGTCCCCCGCTCCCGGGAGGTCACCATATTGATGCCGAACTTAGTGCGGACACCCGATCGGCATAGCGCACTGCAGCCCAGAACTCCTGGACTCAAGCGATCCTCCTGCCTCTGCCTCCCGAGTAGCTGGGACTACAGGCGCGCGCCACCACGCCCGGCTGTCATTCTTTTTTTAATGTCATTCTTTTAAAAAAAGATTTATTGTTATTTATTTATGCATACAAGAACTAGGGGGTAGACCCGAGGCACAGGTTGGGTGGGGGGTGGGGGGTGGTGAGAGGATTCACCAGAGACAGAGTGGGGAACAGAACAGGTGGATCTACTGAAATACACTGCTGAGGGGAGCAGCAGGAGAGACAGGAGAGGTCTGCTGCCCCATGTGGGTCACCTCCCTGGCCAGGAATTGAACGTACACCTCAGTGGCTGGTGATAGCTTGATAGCACTGAGACTTTAACCCCTGTGCCACCAGGGAGGCCCTGCTTAATGTCATTCTATGTAAAGCAAAAACTTTAAATGATTAGCATGAATTTTGCCACTCATTTTTACACCTGCAACACCAGTTTTAAATGTCAATATAAGAACACTGCACTTAAAGAGTCACTGAAACATCATTCATATTCCTTGGCTGGCACATGGGGAAGTATTTTGTTCTACCAGAACAGTGGTAAACGGCACAAAACTGACTCACCCGTTTCTGTCGATATTTCACTTCTTGGTTCACACATGTTCTGCCCACAGGCCACCTGCAGCTGCCTGGTGAGCCAGGAAGGACAGAGAAGCCAGGTCCTTTTTCCTTCTTTAGCATCACTTGCGGCATAAGTGGCTGGATCAAGGAGAAAGCACATGAATTAGAAAGATTCTGCTAGCTTTTCTCAGTCATTTGTGTTTCTTAGAACACCATGGCCTTCTTCATGTGCTTAAAGCAAATTCTGGCCTCTCAGCCCATCAGTGCCCCCTGTACTCAGTGGGGGATGTACCCTCTCCTCGAGCTCACCTTGAGTTTTGTTGAATTCTTGTGCACAGCGGGTCAGCCAGAATTCTGTGCTCGTAGGTGTTGCAAACACAGTATGTAGGTGGCATTTACATGTGGTGTGTCCCCTCTGCTCACCTGTATGCTCCGTTGTACCATCAGACTTTGCTTATAGGACACAAGTTCAAGGGCGAAAGTGCTGAAAAATTCAAGATGGTGACCGCAGAGCATTAAACTCAGCATGGGGCCCTAGGTGACCTCAGAGGTGCCACACCTGTGACGCTGGCCCTGCAGGCTGGCATTTGGTATTTGGAGGACTGTGTCAGTCAAAAGCTCCTTCAGTCCCCTGTGCAGCCTGGTATAGCCCGGGATGGAGGCAGGAGGAGGGAGAGAGTATGGTCAGTCACCTCTACAGTTTCCCCAAGCAAGCCCTGCTGTCTGCTACCTCCAAATCTTCGCCTATCATTTGCTCTACCCCAGTGATTCTCAAAGTTATGGTCTCTGGACCAGTAATATCAGCACCACCTGGAGTTTGTTACAAATGCCAATTCCCAGACCCCACCCCACACCTGCAAGCGCTGGTCTGGGCCTGAGGAATCTGGTCTTCAGCAAGCCCCTGGCAAAAAGTGATGCCTGCTCTTCCTGGAGTATTCTTTCCACCTCATGTCTGCTTCCTATCTCCAGCGGCTCCTTCACTTTGCAGGGAGACTCAGCCCTGGGCTAGAGTAACCCTCCAATTGAACTCCTCAATTCACATCTCCCCTGATAGGCTGTGAGCTTGGGAGTGTCTGTGCTGTCCTCCGCCTTGTCCTGAGTCCTGAGCAGGACAAGCAGTGGGCACTCAGTGGGAGTGGAGTGGCATTGATTGGGGGAGGGGTGGCCAAGTGGGGGCGTAAGGCCTGGGCATCACAGAGGGTCTTGGGTCCCAGGGATGGGGCTGAACACAGACCTCCCCCCACAGGTACAGCCTGTACACCCGCACCTGGCTCGGGTACCTCTTCTACCGCCAGCAGCTTCGCAGGGCTCGGAATCGCTACCCCAAAGGCCACTCCAGAACCCAGCCCCGCCTCTTCAACGGTGAGCTCATGCTGTCCCTGGTGAGGCATTACCCCTGTGCCTGCCCACCCTCCCTGCCTCTCCCCATCACATCCCCGGAGCCCGGGGCTCCCTGCCTGGTACCCCACTCAGCTTGTCTCTGTCCCCAGGAGTGAAGGTGCTTCCCATCCCCGTCCTGTCAGACAACTACAGCTACCTCATCATCGACACCCAGGCCCGGCTGGCTGTGGCTGTGGACCCTTCAGACCCTCAGGCCGTGCAGGTGAGGGAAGGTGGCGGACAGAGGACCTGGGGTCACCTTGGGGACAGGTAACTTGCCCTCGCTAGAGAGAACCAACCTTGGTCCCTCTGCCCATGGGGCGTGCCCCCTCCAAGCGCATTTACACACAAACCCCATCCCCACAGACACAACCTGGGGAGGGGCAGTGACAGCGTGGGGAGTGCACGGTGGAAGTGAGGGGGGACCAGAGCCAGGGGGACAGGGGTGCAGACCCGGGACCGTGGGTCTGTGTCTCAGTCTTGTATCTTCTTTTCTCATCTTTCTTCTCTCCTCACCTGCCCATCAGTATCAGTTCTCGCCACCTTCCTCTCCATTCCTTATTTCTCTGTTTGTGCATCCGTCTGTCTGGCTGCCCCCTCCAGGAGTCTCCCTCTCCCCGCCCGTCCCCCTCTCACCTGTCCCGTGGCTGGTCTCCTCTCTCCTCTTCACCCCCTTCTCGCTCTCTCCCTGCTCTCCTCTCCTCTGTGCCCAACACCCCTGCCCTGTTCCTCTCTGCCATCTACCTCTCTCTGCGTCCCGCTCCTGCTCCTCGAGCTCACTGCCGCCTCTCTCCCCCAGGCTTCCATTGAAAAGGAGGGCGTTAACCTGGTTGCCATTCTCTGCACCCACAAGCACTGGTAAGGGGCCTGAGTGGGGCGGGGCCTGGCTACAGAGGATCTTCCCTGGCCAACCCTTGCCCTGGCTGGGCTGGGCAGGATCTGGCTCGGCAAGGACAGGCGGGCTGGGATCAGGAAGTCAGGCTGGGCAGGTTCCCACCTTCCTCAACAAGTCCTCGGGGCACTAGCGATTAGGAAGAGTAGGATCTCCCGCCCTCCGCTTGTGCTCCAGAAGCAGAGGACAGGACAGGCATTTCCTTTCAGTGCCTGGACGTGTATTAGGTGCTCACTGTGCGCCAGACGTGGGCCAACCTTGTGAGCTCTCCCCAGCAGCTGATGCCCAGCAAGGAGGCAGTGGGGTGTATGAGGGTGATGAGCTCTCAGTGGTAGTTGGCTTGGAGTACAGGGGTGGGGGCCGCAGTGGGTATGATCTGACCCATTCAAGAAATTAGAGGCTGAGATCCTAGAGCTGAGAGAGTCCAGAAAGATCAGTGGGCGAGGGCCAGGAGGAGCAGGTAGCAAGTTGCAGGAATGACATTCCGGCAAAGGGACAATGTGAACACAGCCCCAGGCCAAGGGCCAGGGCCCCGGGGCCCAGAGACCTGAGATGCCGCGGGGGAGAGGCAGGTGAGGAGCCCAGGTGCACATGCCCCTCAAAGCCCCGTCTCTGCTCTCCTCCAGGGACCACAGCGGGGGGAACCGGGACCTCAGCCGGCGGCACCAGGACTGCCGGGTGTATGGGAGTCCTCAGGACGGCATCCCCCACCTCACCCAGTGAGTCTCTGACCCTGGGGTGGGATGGCCTTCCCGTGGGACCGCTCCCGCTCTCAACTTCCAGTTGAGTATTTCAGGGGTATCGGCAGTTGGACCTTTGCTCATGCCCTTCCTAGCGCCTAGATCACACCCCACCTGAAGACTGATCACCCCTCAACTGATCCAGCAGTGGTCCCCAAAAGAGGAAGAGGGGAGGTTTGGATCTGAAGCCCTGGACACTGGGGGTGTCTTCTGTCTCTGGTGACTGGGGGGTGTCTTCTCTGGCTGGTGTGAAAGTCCAGCCTCCTTGAATCACCCAGCCCCTAGGGCTTCAGGTGAGGCGAGGGTCAGCAAGACACAAACTAGTACCTTCTCTGCCCTGCCTTGCTCCTCAGTCCCCTGTGTCATCAAGATGTGGTCAGTGTGGGACGGCTCCAGATCCGGGCTCTGGCCACCCCTGGCCACACGCAAGGCCATCTGGTCTACCTACTGGACGGGGAGCCCTACAAGGGCCCTTCCTGCCTCTTCTCAGGGGACCTGCTCTTCCTCTCTGGCTGCGGTGAGTTTGCTCAAAAGGGAAGGGAGGGCATAGGAGGGAGAGAAGGTGGGAGGCCAAGGCGGGGGCCCAAGAACACCTGTAATCTGAAGCAATGTGAGAAATTGGTTTCAGTACAGCTGATGTCTTAGCAGTTACTTCCTCCTATGTAACCCTGAATTTTTTATAACCTCAAGACTTCCCACCCGATGGCCAGCATGAGAGGCTGCCATAACTGAGTACAAACCGGGCAGGGTGCTTGTTTCCTCGGGGTGGAGCCTGATTCCCCAACACAGTGATGAACAGGATAGGCTACAAGATGAGACCTCCTTGAGCGAGAAGGTGACCTGATGGGTGGGGAGGGGCCACTAGTCCTAGCCGCGTGGAAGCCCAAAGGACAGCACAGGCCAAGGGTGCTGGGTGGAAAAGAGCAAGCCTGTGTGGACCTACGTTACGTGCATGGGGCCGTGAGGACACGGCCTCCCTCTCCATTCGCATGTCAAGACTCAAAGGCTTGATGGGAGTGAATAATTGGCCCAGCTCCCTGGGAAGCCAGGGTGGGGTCATAGTCCCTGCCCTTCAATTGTGCTGTGTTAGCCTTGTATCTTATAACTTGCCCCCCTTGATCCCCACCAGGACGGACCTTTGAGGGCACCGCAGAGACCATGCTGAGCTCGCTGGACACTGTGCTGGGACTGGGGGATGACACTCTGCTGTGGCCTGGTGAGATGCTTCTCCCACTCTATGCGTCACACAACCCCACCCCACCCCCGCCCTCCCCTAGAGAGCCCCAAACCACTTGCTCTCCCAGAGGTGACAGCACCACCTCTGGTGGCTGTCGGGAGCCAACTCTAGCAGGGGCAGAGCTCCCTTTGGGGACACAGTGAGTCCTTTTTTAACATCCTCGCAAGTTCTTGGACACTGGGACTTCAGGCCAGATGACAGAATGAAACCAACTAGACCCCAAGCTAATTGCTATAAACAAGAGTTAAGCTCTGATAGCATATTTCTGGTCACAAAAACATCACCAAACTTCTAAGACCCAAAAACACTTCTAGTAATAAATAATAGTTTGTATTCATTCATGCACTGTCCAATCCAGTTATTCCAATTCAGGGTCTCAGTGGCTGGAGTCTGTCCCAGCAGGTCAGGGTGCAAGGCCAGAACCAGCCCTTCTCTCACAGCATGTGTGTGTGCGCGCACACACACACGCACACACACCCCTCAGTCTGGGACAACTTAGACACCAGGCTCACCTAACACACACATCTCTGGGATATGGGAGAAAACACATGCAGACATAGGAGAACATGCAAACTCCACACAGTCAGTGACCCCGGGCAGAAATCAATTTTTTTCATCAACTATAATAAAAAATATTGAACAGAGGGACATTATTTGAAGACTTCTCATGCCAACTTCCCCTGCCAGCCAGCCCTCGGCCCTGCATCCCAGAGAGATGGCTGGTTTTCATGACCAGAGCCCAGAACAGAAAAAACCTTTGCTTATCAGCAGGGAAGTCAGCAGAGCCACTCTGCGTGTGCCCAGTGCGTCTGCGTGTCCTCCCCCCATAGGTATGTACATTGCATGTCTGTACATGCACTTGTACTGTGTATGTCCACGTTTCCGGAACATTCACTGATATCTCAGTTAATCCTCAGAACATATGTCCATCTGCTCATTCATGAGTCTGAATGAGCAGATGAACAAACTGAGGTCAGCAAATGCTTTGTTAAGCGCCCAGCACACCCGGCTCCGTTCTAGGCCCTGGGGCCACATCTGCATTATTTTCTCCGCTCGCCACATAAGGAAGTAGGGGCTCGGAGAGGTGCCATGACTTGAGGTTGCCCAGCTGGCAAAGGCACAGGGCAACAGGGCAGGTCTTCTGGCTCCAGGCTGGTGCTTCCCCCTGGAACTGCCGCTGCATCTTCCTTTGTGGCTGACCGTGCTATGTTTGTAGAACTTTTTGCTCTGTGTGGTTGGACCCCTCCTTCCTGGTCCTTCCTCTAACCCAACACCTGGGGTTAGAGAGGATTTTTCTGACCACATCACCGCTCTGCCTTGCATTTCTGCCCCCACGCTGTCCTTAGGTCACGAATATGCTGAGGAGAACCTGGGCTTCGCTGGGGTGGTGGAGCCAGAGAACCTGGCCCGGGAGCGGAAGATGCAGTGGGTGCAGAGGCAGCGAATGGAGCGCAGGAGCACGGTGAGGGCCTGGGGACCAGGAGGGGCTGCTGGGCACTCCCCCGTGAGAACCCATTTCTGCTGAGCTGGGCCTGCGGGGGCCCCTCCCCAGGGATCTGACACCTTTGGTACCTGGGCCTTAAGTGAGAACTCCTGGGCCCTGGCGCCAGTGCAGGGGACGGCGAGGCTTCCTTTGCTAGGCCCAATTTCTAGATTCTCCACCAAACCTGGGTGTCTCTTTCCCCATAGTGCCCATCCACCCTGGGAGAGGAGCGTTCCTACAACCCGTTTCTGAGAACCCACTGCCTGGTGCTGCAGGAGGCTCTGGGGCCAGGCCCAGGCCCCATCGGGGACGATGACTACTCCAGGGCCCAGCTCCTGGAGAAGCTTCGCCGACTGAAGGATCTGCACAAGAGCAAGTGATGCCCCCCACCCCACCCCAGCCCACCTCCTTGGTGGGGAGGCTGACCATCACCCTCATCACCCCCTCCTTCTCATTGCTACCACCACCACTTCCATCGGCGCCCATGGTGGGCTTTATTCCCCGACACTGGCCGGGGGACAGAAGGGAGGAGACCGAGAGGAAGGGAGCTGGTGGAAGGCTTGGAGACTCCAGGGGGTGAGGCTGAGTTACCAAGGGCAAGAGGAAAGGCGGGACCTAGGACATCTCCAGACCTGACTGGGAGCGTGTGTTCCATGGCAACGAGGACGTGGAGCTGCTGGGGAGGCCTCGCTTCCACTGTAGCCCCTGAGCCCCGGGCAGCAGGAACTGTGAAGATGTTTGAGTCCCTCTTCCCCCTCCTCCCGTCCAGAGTGGGGAGAGAAACTCAGTCCCCGAAAGTGGCCTGAGGTATGGCTCCGTGGAAGAGTGACCAGTCCGGGAGCGACAGGGCTCTGGTCTGCGGAGACGCTGCCCCTGTCCCCTGCCCAAGCCTCCCTGCCCTGTCCCCACGAAGGCACTTTTCCCACAGAGCCATTTCTGAGAAGGATGACAGGGCTGCGAGCCTGGCTGTCTGGATGTTTCTGCTGAATGGCTCCCCTACAGCCTGGAAGAGGTGGGGTCCTTGTTGCCAAGGAAACCCAGGCCCTGGCTGAGGAGACACCAGAGAGGGGACTGTGACGGTCGTGTAGGTCCCCGTGCTCCCTGCACAGCGGGTCTGGGCCTGCTGGCTGGCCTCTGCCCCTGCCCTGGGTCTCAAGGGCCTTTATTCCCAGGGGAGAAAGCGCCACCGCCAGTCATGGCCGCTGCGGGTTTCCTCATTCGGGTCCTTATTCTTAGGAACCTCTGCCCCCCTCTCACTCCTCTCTTTCCTCAGCCCTTCTTTTAACCAGTAGACCTTCAACTGCCCCTTTGCAGTTTGCCAAGAACACCCCATGCCATTTCTCATGTGACCCCTGGCTCCGTCCCGGCTGGGGCAGGGGGTCCTCGAAGCAGCACAGCACTCAGAGGCCTGAAAGCAGAGAGCTCTGAGTGAGCCGTGGCTTCCAGGACCCCAGGCCTGGGCCCTGCCCCTCTGCGCAGCCCCCTCAGCTCAGCTTCTCCCCTGGCCTCGGGTCCAGGTCCCTTTAGAGCGAGGAACCCTGTGGTCCTTGCAGCAGCAGACCTGGGGCCAGCCCAGAACTTTCTCTCCACATCCAAGCCCTTCCTCAGGCTCTGCTCACCTTTGGTGAGCCTCTGAGATGCCCTGCCCTCAGTCTCCCCCACCATCGATCGGCCTCTGCCTCTCTCTCCAGCCATAGCCTCTGGTACCAACTCTAGCAATACTGTCAGAATAGTTAGTCCCCGCCCCCCCAGACATGCAGTTCCTGCCTCTGTGCCTTCGCTCATGCTGTCTCTTCAGACTGGAATGCCTTTCCCCTGCTCCTCCTGCCTTGTCTGCCTGGCAAACACCTTTTCATCTCTCTCCATCTCCCTCAAAAGTCCCCCCTCCTCCCGGAAGATCACCCCCATGCCCCACCCCTTCCAGGCTACCTCTGCTCTTTGTAAATGCTTCTCCCATGGCACTTATCACACTGTATTTTACTTGTTTACATGTTTGTCTCCCCTTCTAGACTGTGAACCTTTCAGGGCATGGACTGTATCTTATGCATCTATGTATTTCTGCGCCTAGCACGGTGCCTGGCACACAATAGGCGCTTAATAAATGTTGAATGAATGAATGATTTAACCAAGTCTTGCTCACTCAGTGTGTCTGTCTTTATTGCCGGTTCCCTTTTCCTGTCTGAGTGACAGGTCCGCTCCTCTGGCGTGACTGCCTTCAAGCTTTGGCCAGAGCAGTGTTCTCCACATGTCCCACCACAACTCGAGCACTTGCTCCAGGCTTCCAACCAGCTTACCTCCGAAGCTTGAGATTGCACGTTGTACCACTGCCCACAGGGGACGTGCTTTTACATGGGCACAGCAAGCAGTGGCCAGCACTTCAAGGGCAGGGTGGTGGCACTGGCCTCTCTAAGCCTCTGGAACTAACAGAGCCAAGCTCCACTATTCGAAGAATAACTTTAACAACATCATTTTTTTCCCATTGTATTTATCTTTGGGGGTCAGGACTTACGTTTGACAAGTGACACTGGTTTTCAGTTCATGACAGTGATTAAAGATAGTTATTGAAATGGGAAAATACCAAGTGAAGGTGACACTCAGCTACAGTAGAATCTTGGAGGTGCCCTATATGAATGAAGAATAGGAAGTGCTGCCTTGGCTCCATGCTTTTTTGAGGCCAGCCCTAGGCACAGTCTTCCCATACCTGGCCACAGCTCAGTCTCCCCTCTCAGTTGCCTCTCAGCCAAGCCAGGGAATCTGGCACTGGCCCAGTTGTCCTGGGTGGGGCTGCACCTGGAGTATGGGTAGGGGAAGGACTGTGGTCTCTGTCTTCCTGAAGAAAGGCAGCTCTCTGTGCTCTGTGACTGTCCCTGGGTCACTGCAGTCTTGAAAGAGCGAGCCCTGGGGCCTCGTCACTCTGGGTATGCCCAGTTTCAGAGAGAGGCACTTGATAACAGTTCTCTAGAACTGCTGAAGCATTTTCCTGAGGCCTTGAGTGACCCTCTCAAGTGACCCTCTCAAGGCCTTGAGTGCTTCTCCTGGGGCAGCATTGACCAACAACAACCAGGCCACCTGTTTGCTTGGAGGACAGTAGGATTCATTTACCTTGGAGACTGACTGGGTTCCAGTCCCAGCTCTGTCCTCTGTCATGCAATATCCCAGTGACCTTGGGTGAGTCACTTCCTTGTTTTCAGTTTTTTCAATTTCCAATGGCGGTAATAACCTCGAATGCATTCCAGACCTCTTTCAAAAGTGACAAACGCTCATCACAAAGGAGTTTAAACCAAAAGAAGTATTGATTAGCTTGTGAAATTGAAAAATGTGATATTAGCTCATGGTGATTTCAGGCATGGCTGGATCCAGGACAGCGTCATCACTCAGCTCTGCTTTCTTCTATATTGGTGTCTTTCATCCTCCCTGGGTGGAAAGATGATGCTTACAAAATACTTGTTCATCAAACAGCAGAACCCTCAGGAATCCCAGGGATTGTGCTTCATAGGTTCAGTTTGGGTCACGTGTCCAGCTCCAACCCTGAACCAATCATAGGAGTTAGGGGATGGGCCGCTCTCACCAGGTTGGGTCATGTGTCCACACCTAGAAGGGCACGGTCAGACCCGACTAAAACACAATGGAGCAGGGGTCCCCCAAAGGAATAAGGGATGAGAAATAATGCATAACAACAAAATCGTAAAACTCTACCAATATTGGGTCTATCCGGTGACGCAGCAGTTGAGCACTGGGCTGCGAAGTTGCCCTCAGCCTCTGCAGCACCAGTTCAATCCCCAGCCACCGGAGGAGGGTCCCACATGGCGTGCAGACCTCTCCTGCTGCCCGCTGCTCCCCTCAGCAGTGTACCTCGGTCCTTCTGCCTGCTCTGCTCCCCACTCTGGCTCTGGTGAATTCTCTCACCCTCCCGTGCTTCTGACTATACCCAGTGCTTATATAAATAAATAAATAAATAAATAAATAAATAAATAAATAAATCTTTTTAAAAAATTTACCAATTTTTTTTTTTTTGAGACTATCAGAAGAGTCAGATGAGAAAAGGCATATGAAGTCACTTTAAAAAATGCTATTTCTGGGGCCTCCCTGGTGGCACAGGCGGTTGAATGTCACTCTGTGAAGCTGTTTGCAGCCTCTGCAGCATGGGTTTGATCCTGGCTGGCCAGCTGGCAAGAATCCCACATGGCATGGCAGACCTCTCCCGCCTCGCCCGCTGCTCCCCTCAGCAATGTGTTTCGTCAGTCTGTCTGTTCTGTACCCCACTCTGTCTCTGGTGAATCCTCTCACCCCCCGCATCTCTGGCCTGTACCCAAGACTTGTATAAATAAAAAAATCTTTAAAAACAAATGCTGGTTCTGGGCCTCCTGGTGGCTCAAGGGGTTGGGACGCAACCTATGAAGATATCCACAGCCACTGCAGCACGAGTTTGATCCCTGTTCAGGGAGTTACCCACATGGCACAGCAGACCTCTCCTGACCCGCCCGCTGCTCCCCTCAGCAGTGTATTTCAGTCAGTCTGCCTGTTCTGTTCCCCTGTGTCTCTCGTGAATCCTTTCACAGCTTCCCCTCCAACATCTCTGGCCTGTACCCCAGTTCTTGTATACATAAATAAATAAATCCTTTTTTTTAATGCTGGTTCTATCATTAATGATAGAGAAGAAATGGGGGTAGACCTATAGTCTCAAAGGTGTTTATTTTTTTTTATAAATTTTATTTTTATATTCCCCATACAATTGCAACTCCCTTATTTTGACCCCAATCCCTCCCCTCACCACCCTCCCCCCCATAGAGTGTCTCTGGTTCATAGTTTTTTGTTGATTTTGATTTTCACTTTCTTATAGTTATTCATTTTCCTGGTCCCTTATTTAAATTTTTCTAGATTCCTGCTATGAGTGAGACCATCCGGTATTTTTCTTCTTCTTTCTGGCTTATTTCGCTGAGCATGATCCCTTCCAGCGCCATCCATGTTGCTGCAAATTGCATGTGTTTATCTTTTTTGAATGCTGAGTAATATTCCATGGTATATATGTACCACATCTTCTTGATCCAGTCATCTATTTTTGGGCATTTGGGTTGTTTCCAAAGCTTAGCTATTGTAAACAGTGCTGCTATAAACATAGGGGTGCAGGTGCTCTTTGGAATTGATGTTTCTGTGTCCTTTGGGTAAATACCTAGGAGTGGAATTGCTGGATCATATGGAAGCTCTATGTTTAGTAGGTCCAGAAAACTCCACACAGCTCTCCATAGTGGCTGGACCAGTTTGCACTCCCACCAACAGTGTAGAAGAGTTCCTTTTTCTCCACAACCTCGACAACATTTGTTGTTGATAGTTTTTTTAATATGTGCCATTCTCACTAGTGTGAGATGGTATCTCATGGTAGTTTTGATTTGCATTTCCCTGATTACAAGTGATGTTGAACATTTTTTCATATGCCTGTTGGCCTGAAAGGTGTTTAAATCATATGTGATTTTAAGAACAACCAGCAGGGGCCTCTGTGGTGCTGCAAGGGGTTAAGCACCGCACTATGAAGCAATTCGCAGCCTCTGCAACACAAGTTCAATCCCCGGCCTACCAGGGAGCAACCCACATGGTGCAGCAGAACTCTGCTGACTCGTCTGCTGCTCCCCTCAGCAGTGTACTTCAGTCGGTCCACCTGTTCTGTTCCCCACTCTGTCTCTGGTGAGTCCTCTCACACCCCACACCTCTGGTCTGTACCCCAGCTCTTGTATGCATAAATAAATAAATCTTTTTTTTTTTTTTAAAGAATAACCAGCAGACAGTTCAGTTTTAAAGTTTTCTCCTGGAATCACAGGCTGTCTCTCTTTGAGGATAGGAAAGGAACAGGGAGGGGCTAAGTGGAGTGCCTAAAGTGTTCCAGCGAAGAACTGAGACGAGGGGCAGTTGTAGACAAGAGGGTGCATGTGTGGGTGGCCCTAGCCCTCCTCTCCCCCCACCCCAGGCCCTGGCCACAAATGGAGCCTTTGAAAGCAGATGGAAAACGAACCCCAACAGTCAGTAAACCCTTGGCTCCAGTCCATGGCAGGACAGGGTGGCCCAACAGAGCAGGGCAGGTGGAGAGAGGACTTAGTATTAAACTGGTCTAGGAATGAATATTAATTCTGCCTCTGATGGTCTGCGGGTAACAAGGGACAGGTGACTCATGGTCACCAAGCCACATGTTGGAGTGACTGGGGGAAGTGACAACAGTCTCTTACCTCCACCGTTATTAATAAACTTAACGCTAGTCTGTTAGAGCAAGTGGTTCAGAACATGGACTCTGGAGCCAGCTCCTAGATTGGAGCCTACATTTTTCATTTATTACCTGGGTTACCTAGGGTGTTTCTTAACCTTTCAGTCACTCAGTTTCTGTCTATCCAGTGAGGGTGATCCTAGCTCTGACTTAGAAGCTTGCCGTGAGCATTAAATGAGCTCACAACTGCCCTTTCTATGGGAGTCAATGCCACCCTGAAGCCAGACCTCTCTCGGCCACAAAGAGGCCCACCTACCCAACCCAAACACTCCAGAGTGTCCTTCCACAGCCCTACGGTACAGATGGTACCAGGTTCTTTTTTTATTTTTTGAAAAAAGATTTATTTATTTATGCATACAAGAGCTGGGGTGCAGGCCAGAGATGCGAGGGGTGAGAGGATTCACCAGAGACAGAGTGGGGTGCAGAACAGGCAATCTATTGAAATATACTGCTGAGGGGAGCAGCTGCGCCATGTGGGTCACCTCCCTGGCTGGGGATCAAACTCGCGCTGCAGTGGCTGCTGATAGCTTCATAGTGCTGTGTCTTGTACCATCCTTGCACCACCAGGGAGGCCCCAGTAGCAGGTTCTTAAGAGAGCTCTTCCAGAGAGTTGAAGAGTAGATCCTTATGTGAGCCATTTTGCCAATTGCTTTCTGCCCCTGCCGTTGGTAGGAAACAGTTAGAACCAAAGGGAGGAAGTGGGGGGTGAGCAAGATGGACGCCTAGCAAGCGGGAACCTGTGAGGACAGACAAGCAGGGTCACATGCAGCTAGAGGGGCCTGACCAAGAAAGGGGGCTCCAAAGGGTGGCCAGCTAGGGGAGCAAATCTTCCCAGGACAGCCGGGGGAGGAACTACGTGGGCGTCCCTTA